GCAGGGAGTCTGCTTCTCCCTCTGACCCTCCCCCTCTCATGCTCTCTCATTCTCACTGTCAAATAAATAAATAAAATCTTTTAAAAAAAAAAAAAGTTGCTGGTAAGAAAATACATAAAAAGTTCCTCAGTTAATCAGAATAGTGTTGTAGTCATCATCTTAGACTTAACTCTTTTATAATTCTTCTACTACAGTTCCAGAAGCCAGTATGAAATTAAAACTGATTATAAAATACCTGAAACTTCCTTCTCTTATATGGATATCTTAAGTAGCCTTCAGAAAATCACTGCCATTTTTAAAGCTTCTCACCCTCATGATAAAATAAAGACAGCCAACTAACTTATTAAATCAAGTGGAATAATTTTTATGCTGAGCCTGTCAGTACTCAAAAGGAGTTTCAGTTGGCAAAGTACCAAAATGCAGATTCAACCATATGAAATATTTACACTTTTAAACTTTTACATATTTTTAAAACTGGCATTTTCTGTTATTGAGTACACTTTGGGTTTCACTATTTAATCTCTAATGATAAGCCATCGCATCAACTACACTGATCTAAGATGATTTACTTAGCTATTTTTTTGTCAAAGAATTATGTATATGCCTAAATTTACTGAAAAGTTGGATATCCAATCTCCCCGTCATATTTGCAGTTTTCACCAAATGTTCTGTGCTAAGCAAAAATAGAACTCAACCTAAGGGGAGAAAATACCAACTCCAAACAGGAAAAAATAAATCTGTACACTAACATTTTCTGAAACATAAGATTTCTGCTTAACTCTAAGACAAAAAAAGTCATATTCAGGCTATAAGGAAATTAGCTTCCATGTCTCATCAAAATGAATCACAAATGCCCAGACACAAAGAAAAAGGAATCAATACCTCCCTGTAAATGCATTTACAGTCAGAAGTTAATGAACCAGAATATTTAGGAATTGGGTCAAATCCTACCCATATACTAAAAATTTCAGGACAAAGGAAGACAGGAACTTATTAACTGAACACCTACTAGGTGCCAAAAAATATTCTTTTTAAATCTATTCAATCCTCAAAACTACCAGATGAAATAAATAGGTATTTTTTGAAAGTGAGGAAGCTAAAGCATGGAGAAGGGTTAATTGGCCTAAGGCCACACAGTTAGGAAGAATATCATTTTTTTTTTCAAGGACATCTGTAAATATTTTGGAATATATTAACTATTGAGTTTTTGTTATTAGTTTTAACCTTTCAAGAGTTAAGTTTACTCTTAACTCTTTTTCATTGTAAAACAACCACATTTGCAAATTTGGAAACCTAACAACAAAAATAGCACCCTATAATCATCCACATAAACACCCCCATCATTAATTTTATATAATTCTTCTAGTCTCTTTTTCACCCTCCTAGTTCGCTTAATAGGTAAAATTAATAGGCCAAAAATCAGGAAGGGTGGTTAACATAACCCTAGCTTATGTATGTGTGTGTGTGTGGTGGGGAGAGGGTGTTCCATACTCATGGCCAAAAAGTAAACTATAGACGAAAACCTAAGAGTAAGGGTTTCATCCATGAAACCCCCCAATGGTGTGGGGGGGGGTTGGGAGGGGCGAGGCTAGGTAGGTTGAAACATCTGTAAAATTACTCCAACTGTAGTCTTGTCCTTTGGAAAGCGTGGTTATAAAAATGTGGAGAAATGAGTATATCTAAATATTTTCAACTGGAGTTATCATCGTTGCTATAAAATCCCAGTGCAATTTTAAAAGGTGGTTAACGTTAAGCATTCAGACTATTCCTTTCCTGACCACCTACCGATTTGATTCTGGGGACAATAATCACAGATTATGGCTAGCGGAAATCTCTTCAGATCAGACAGCTAAGAAGCCAGAGTACAGGCATACTTCCTCTGCCGAGTCACGCTTCCGACTTTTCACACCAGTTTTATCTCCACTCCCTACCTACATTAACAGTTTTACTTCAGGACTCCAGGGTCTGAGGCCCGTAAGAGACCGGAAAGCCTCCGTGGGAGAGGCAGCGGAGAAACTCTGGCGCATGCCTTGACAGAGAGGGCACAGCTGTCTTCTTCGGCCGTTGAAACACGCTGCGCGCGTGCCCGGTAAAGACGCAGAGGTTCAACGTCCCTCTGGGATCCACACGGAGCGCCCACCCCAGCGTGCTGGAATTGCTGATATTCTCCCGAGAGGCTGGGAGAGACCGTGGCGGAAAGAAGCGCACGCGCAAACGCTACGCCAAGCATTTCCCACCAGGCTCTGCGCACGCCTACAACTCCCATCATGCTCCATCGGAGACAACACTGCTTCTCGCAGGAAGGCGGCCGTTCACCCCGCCACCCGTCTTCACACCTTTAATACTCCTCGATGTGCCTCTGGCATTCTCGGGAGCTCTTCAATCCCATAAACAAGAGTACCAAGGCTACTTCCTAAGACCTCCAAGGAGGCGTGGCTTCGAGACCGGAAGAACGTCCGGTTGCCAAGGGAACGCCACGCGCCTAGGCGCCTGCCCAGCCACTGATGCTCTGGCTGAGGCGCAGGCAACCAGTTCACCCAACTTGTAGATACGGCTTTGCTCAGGAGCAGGGATTCCTACAATGGAGGCATAGAGACTAAGGCTGAGAGACGCCCGATATTTATTCCAGAGACGTATACGAGTGAGTGAGTGGTCCATTCCTGTTCCTCTTCAGCCCCTGGGCCCGCAGAACTAACTTCAAAGACCAGGTATCTCCGCGCCACCCCCCCCCCCGTGTTTGTAGCCAGCGCCGCCGCCACCAACACCACTCCCGTCGCGTTTTAGAATTGCTCTTTACTCTTTCTTAAGGTTTTTACTCCGTACCGTTGTTTCTAAAGTGTAAGAAGTGGAAAAGGAAAGGATTTATGCGGTGAGTACTAGGGGTCCCAGGAGACTCATGGTTTTGGGCAAGTTTGTTTGGTTGGTTTTATCATCGCCCAGTTTTGTGTTTTTATTTGGTGTGTGGGAAATGTAATTGAAATTTCATCCTCAGAAACTGAAAGCCGAATAAAAATGTTTGAGGTACTAAAAGTAGGCTATAATTCACTCTAGGAACTTTTTTTTTTTTTTTTTACGTTTACAAAGTACCATTCATGGTGTTTTTCTCTGCCCCACCACGATCTGCGGCTTACTACCTTCCAAGCTGTTTGCTGTGGATAATATCCTAATTCCTCAAGACTTTTCTGGCAACAAGTAATCCTTTAGAAAGCAGTTTCTCAGATAACAACCAAGAGAATTTGATTGGCTGGTGCGCAGTAAAACAGTAAGATAAGAAACTGGAAAGGTAGATCAGAGCCAGATTGGATCTTTTTTTTTTTTTTAAAGATTTATTTATTTATTTATTTGTCAGAGAGAGAGAGAGAGAGAGACAGAACACAAGCAGGGGGAGAGGCAGGCAGAGGGAGAAGCAGGCTCCCCGCCGAGCAAGGAGCCCGATGCGGGACTCAATCCCAGGACCCGGGATCATGACCTGAGCCGAAGGCAGCCGCTTAACTGACTGAGCCACCCAGGCGTCCCAGATTGGATCTTAAAATTAGCTACGCGTGAACATTTGGACTTTATTCTGAAAGCCAGCAGTTCTCAATAGGAACTGTACATCAGAAACACTGTATAGCTTTTTAAAATGCGGATGCCCTAATCCCATCACCAGAAATACTAATGTAGTAGTTAATTCCAGTGTGCAGCCAAAGTTGAGAATCATGGCTTTAGGCATAGGGAGCTACAGAAAACTTTATCCCACTGTGCACATAGGGCATGGTAAGTAAATGATGAGTGGCTTAAATTGTTATCTTTCCTTCTTTCATACATGGAAAAAGTAAACTTACAGAAATGTATGATTACTAAGAAATAGAAACATGCATGCATAAGGCTATAATTACATCTTTTAAAACAACTGACTTCTACATTGTATGTCCCAAAATATTTTATTAACAAGCATTAGTTTTAATAATCCATGAAAAAGGGTTGGAAAATCACAATCCAGGATTCTTTGGAAAATGAATATTCAAGTATCAAGTTTTTGACAATCGATGCTTTATAGTGGATGCCCAGAGGATGATGAGGTGAGAAGTCGTCATATTTTTTTAAAATCTGTTCAAAATTGTATGGAAAATGGAAAACAAGATATTGTCTTTTTTTTAAATTAACATATAATGTATTTTGCTTCAGGGGTAAGATACTGTCTTTTTATCAATATGTTTAGTACAATAAATAACAAAGTGAGAATAGCAAATCTACTTTGAATTAAAATGGTCTGTGTGAATTGTTTCATGATATCAGAAGGCTAACTTAAAGTAGATTGTACAAATGTTCCTTAAGCTGAGATTTAAAGGAATGGATTGAGTGAGATTTGAGTCTCCAACACAAGGAGAAAAGTGGCACAAATGGAGTACCAGAAATCAAACCCAATCTTTGGATAAGACAACTGTGGCTCTCTTATAGGCCCCATGCTCTGGTGGGGCACCGTGCTTGCTCCTTTCTGCACATCATTGAAATTTGGTTTTGAAATTTCTGTCAGTATGATCCCCCAAGGGGCCTAAGCAAAATCGATGATGCAACCTCCTTTTGATGCAGTTGTCTTGGAAACCTCATCATTTAAGTTGCTGCAGCTTCACATTCTTCAAGGTATGGCCTTACCTAGGATAGTGTGGGATAAAAAATACTCGAGGAGTTGGGGGATGACAGGCTCCTGGAACTTTAGATGGAGATGAGAATAAATCAATTAAATGAGATGAGTATTTAGAGAACTTTGAAAAAGATGGTTAGGAGAGTAATAGGAAATATTTGGGACTTAGGCAGATTGTAGTTACTCCTATAGCAGTCCCTGCAGCAGTTGAGGGCTGGCAACAGGGATATCTCTCTTCTCCCATGATAACATTTTGGGGAGTGATGGACCCAAGGGGAGTACCTTTGGAAAGTTTCATTTGGAAAGTTCATAGCAGGTTATGAGCAAGCAATATGTATAGCAGTATATTATATATTAAAGTAAATATATCTGTTAGTATTCTTTGTTCCTCTTGATAGAAAATGCAACCTAAACTGGATATAATCAAGCAAACAAACAAAAACAGTGAATTTAATAGTTATTCCTTCAGATTATTGGATAATACAACAATGGGGCTGGCTTCAGAAAACGATTTAGCCAGTGGCTCAAATAGTGTAGCCCAAATCTCAGTTTTTCTCATTTCTGACCTGCCTTCTACTTTCTGAGCTTCGGCATTAGGCTCTACATGAACTCCTTTGCCATACATTGTTCCAGATTTCTAGAAAGGCTGCAGATATTTTCAAGATCACAAGTGGCAGACTCTACACAATACTGAGTTTAACCACATTTTCTTCTTAAATATTGTAATTTACCAGAAGAAATATACAGCTATTTCAAGGGCATTGTTCTTTGTGTTGCCTAGGGTTATAAGCTGCCAATCTGCATTTCAGATAAGGCTCCTTTGTGCTAATCAGCTTAAACTTTGTTTCCTAAATACAAAGCTACTTGACATGGTTTTTATGATTGTGTCTTTAAATTATTAATTTTTTTGATGCACATGTTCATATTTTCCATACCTAAGTTGCCTGTAATGATTGATATATCTTTTTTTACTTTTAACTTGCAGCTGGTTTGTAAATATTTGAATCACATTATGGGATTGCTAGACAGACTTTCAGGCTTGCTTGGCTTAAAGAAGAAGGAGGTTCATGTTTTGTGCCTTGGTCTGGATAATAGCGGCAAAACAACAATCATTAACAAACTTAAACCTTCAAATGTAAGTATCTTTGTTAGATGCTTTACGTATTTTCTACTAGAGAAAGTTAACATGCAGAATTATTTTGTTTGCCATCATTACTTCATATAATCATGTTACGAAATCCTTTTAATCTTGTAGTATCTTAAAGTAATAAATGTCAGTCAGGCATAATTTGCAGTGTATTTTATGTAGATGTATAGGTGAGTCTTGATTATTTAAGCTGGAATATTTTCCAAATGTCTTTTTTTCTTAAAAGATCCTCACAAATTTGCCAAGTTTACTTTTAGGTATCATTGCCTTCTTTTTGGCTCCCTCTTTACAAGAGAAACAAAGGGAATGGTGAATCATTTTTATGGGTTCAATGGATAATTAAGACAGTTTCCCAGGAGTGTGGTATGCGTATCAGTAGTAGTAAGCAGAATGATTTTAAGTCATTTAAGTAATAAGTATATGAACATATAATTTTAATAACTGAAAAATATAAAGCTAGCACATTCAACACATGGTACATAAAAGTTAGGTTTTGCTACATATAAAGAAAATCCACATAACAGTGGACTAAATAAGGTAGAAGCTTCTTTTTCTGTCATCTAAATAAGTCCAGAGGAGGTATTCCAGGGCTGGTGGTGCAGCTATGTGGTCAGTCATGAGACATCCAGGCATCTTCCATCTTCCTGTTCTGCTATTCTAAGTGCCTTTTTTCATCTTCAAGATCTCCACATGGTCACCTTGGTTAACTGTATTCTAAGTCACAGGGAGGAGAAAAGAACAAGGCAAAAGAATAGGCCCTCTTGCTAAATAAGCTCTCTTTAAAGAACTTACCCAGAAGCATCAAATAATGATTCCTTACTTATATCTCATTGGCTACCCCTATCTGTAAATGAAGTTGGATTTTTTTTTTTTTTAAAAAGCAGGGCATACTGCTGCTTCCAAAAATAATAGGAGTCCTGTAAGTATGGAAGAAGAGGAAAATGGATATTGGATAGACAACTAACATTTGCAGTTGTAAATACACTTATTTAGGTAAAAGCCATTAGTGAATTAATGAAAACTGTAGAGTGAAAGACTAATATAGACTGCATAAAGATAGGGCAAAAACTAAGAAGCTGTTACTCTTAATGACTAAATGGCTAGAGAATGGGAAATATTGCTCCTAAATATGGTAGTTGCCTCCAATGTTTCAGGTTGGGCTGAATAAGCACCCTTACTACTCTGTTTTCTTTTGTAGCAGCTTCAGTTTTACTTCTGTTTAGTTGGAGATTACTTTGGAATACAAAAAAAAAAAAAAAAAAAAAATTATTTCTTTTTTTCTGGTCATTATTCCCTTCTACATAGATGAGTTTACCACATAAGAACAACTAACTGCTGGTGTATTTTCAGGTGGGAGTTAGTGTGAGGCGGCCAGGATAAAAAACTGAAGATGGATTTGGAAGGCAATTTAGGTGTTTTAAGGAGTTCCCCAGCTGAGGTATACATTCTGAAGTCAGGCAAAGATAAAAAATATCAGCTTTATTTAATTTTGGAGGGCAAGGTTAGGTCTCTTCAGAGGAGTTGCTAACACTCTATTGTATTGAGATTTGCCTCCCAAAATTTCGGGGTTTCCTCCTCCGGGAAAGATCCTACTCTTCTAGGTTCATTGCATGGCTAAGATCAGATGAGAGTGCATTCTTGTGATAGGCATGGAGCATTCAAATGAGAGAGTAGAGAGAGGCAGAACCAAGAATGCTCAGTTCTGTTTCACAAACTGAGCAGTCAGAGGAGTAATTATTTAGCCATAGAGAGGAATAAATTGGAGAAGGTGAGATAGAGAAATATGGAGTATCATTTAATGAAGTTTTCTCTATATGTGAAGATAGGGGAAAAAGGTTAAAAGAAGCCCACATACATTAGAGTCTATCTCCTGACCTAGGTGATTACAAGAAATTTCTTTATCAGTCCTTCAGAGGGAGATAAAGCATCCTACCCAGTTGGGTGGGGTCCAGAATTGATCTTAGAGAACAGTGAGTATATGTTAAAAGTAGAACCATACCCAATTGTGCCTTGGCCCATAATCAGTACTGTGGATCAGCTATCAGCAGATAGGCTGGGCTAATGCTTAAGAAACTCAGTGACTGGTGACCTATACTTCTGTAGGTAAAGCTATCAGCAGTAAGGAAGATTATAAGGAATTTTTTTTCGGTAAGGGCCTATTCTGTCAGAGGTGTTTACATTTTTCTCCACATCGAGGAATTGCCTCAAAGGTAAAAATTTTTTTTTTGGTAAAACTAGTCTTGGGACGCCTAGGTGGCTGTGGGTTGTGTCTTGATGCTTGATTTCAGCTCAGGTCATGATTTCAGGGTCATGGGATTGAGCCCAGTGTCAGGCTCTGAGCTCAGCGTGGAATCTGCTCCAGATTCTCTCCCTCTCCCTCTCCCCCTCCTCTCTCTCTCTCTCTCTTTTTCTCCCTCTCTCAAATAAGTAAATAAAATCTTAAGAAAAGCTAGTCTCAAATAAGTACAAAATAACTGAAACCAGAGCCACCATTAATAGCCACAAAATGGGGGCGCCTAGGTGGCTCAGTCAGTTAAGCATCCAACTCTTGATTTCGGCTCAGGTCATGATCTCAGGGTCCTGGAATTGAGCTCCATGTCAGGCTCCATGCTGAGTGTGGAGCCTGCTTGGGATTCCCTCTCTCCCTCTCCCTCTGCCCCTCCCTTACCTCTCCTTCTGTTAAAAAAATATATATAGCCACAAAATGGACCAGTCCACCAATGTCTGCTGTACTCAAAATTGGCAGAAATAATATTCAAAAAACAAAAAAGAATTTACAGTCTCCTTCCATCATTCCCAACAGTATAGTGATCTTCCAAGACATAGTTATTACCATAGGAATAATCTTTGATATGAATGGGAACGGCTTTCTTCCCTGAACAAGGATGTATTTTTATTTTTTAACCTACTTAGGGATTTTTTTTTTCATAATTTCTTCTGTCATTTCTAGAGATTTGGGGCAGGAAGAGGAGACATCATGTGCTCCATCTGTGATCTTAAAATACTCTATAACCCCCATTTCAGACTGGTCTTGTGACATATTAACCCTGTTTAACACCACATTAGTCAGGGAAAGCCCCCAGGAAAACCTGGGTACACAGCCAATAACTAAGGTTTTTTAATTAATCTTCCAGTGCTTTCCAACATCTCTGTCTCTGTTATCTCTGGTGAATTATGGAACTAGCCTCGACTTGCTATAGGGCTATTTTAAGGGGATCACCTACTTTCTGACACCACTTCCTGAGACTTAATCTTTAGGCAACTATCCTGTCTCCACAGAACAATTGACCTCTAGATCCTGAGAACACAGTAAGTTGCTCTGCTTTTTTTTTTTTTTTTTTAATTTGGTGCTTATAGCCAAAAGACCACTTGAAATAGAATTTCTTAAAGACCTCAGAACCTCTGTCACACAGGTATATATAAAACACTTGTTTCCTCCATTTATCTGAACCAAAGAAATCTTTTGTGAGCCTACATCCACTATTAGAAACATTATTTTTAATGAATTAAGTGAATTATAGAAATCTACAATGCAAAAAATTTGCAAATCTCATTTTATAGTTATGTGTCTTATTTTTTGTGGATAAAATCAGTTTCTAGATAACTAGATACTTTTGGACCCAAACTGGCTTTAAGCTATCCTAATGCTTATTTATTGTCAATGTATTGAGGATTCTGGTGTTTTCTAAACTGATGCATAATGGTGGGGAGGCATTTTAACCTGATCACTCAAGAATCTGGTCTTAAGTGTATTTTCTTAGAGATGCACCCTATAAGTACCTTTTTTTCCACAATTTCCATTACCCCCCGTTTGCCAACAGAAATCCTATCATACTACCACATCATCCAGATTTATGTTATTTAAAACAATCTGAGGGGCGCCTGGGTGGCTCAGTCGTTAAGTGTCTGCCTTCGGCTCAGGTCATGATCCCAGAGTACTGGGATCGAGCCCCACATCAGGCTCCCTCCTCAGTGGGGAGCCTGCTTCTCCCTCTCCCACTCCCCCTGCTTGTGTTCCCTCTCTCGCTGTGTCTCTCTCTATCAAATAAATTAAAAAAAAAAAAATCTTAAAAAAAATAAAAAATAAAACAATCTGAAATTATCTTGCATATTTAATTGGTAGCTTATTTATTAAATTTTTCTTCATTATAAATTTAAATTACTTAAGAGCATAGATCTGATATTATTCAACCCTATATCCTAAATACCTATAATATTGCCTGGTATATAAGTGTATTTTGGGATGGACTGATGGGGAATTTTTTAATTTTCATTTTTGGGCAGGGAATGATGATTGATAGCACCAAGGATTTAATTTTTAGCAGACTTAATGAAACTAACCAAATAGGATGTTCTCTTAGAAATCCTGTTCTATTCTTGTTGATGTTAGTCTATCCTTGGGCTATCTCAGATAGGCTATTCCACTTAGGTAATAATTCCTACACTCTTTGCTTGGTTTGTACCATTCCCTGACCAATTCAGAGAATGACCAAATGTATTTGTTCCTAGACAGAGCAGAGAAGATTAATGTCGGAGATAATCTTTGGAATTCTTTAGAGGAAAATAAATCCCACTTGAAGTAGAAGCACGAGCTCACATATCTTGTTTTATCCTGATTAATTTGTGGAGTTTCTTCTTTCTAATTAGGTTCCATGAGAACTTTAGAAGTAACGGGAAGAGGGGTGCCTGTGTGGCTCAGTCGGTTAAGTGTCTGCCTCTTAATTTTGGCTCAGTCATGCTCTTGGGGTTGTGAGACTACATCATGGAGTTTGCTTGAGATTCTCTCCCTCTCCCTCTGCCCCTCCTCCTACTCGTATGTACTCTCTCTCTCTCTCTCTCTCTCCCTCAAAAAAAAAGTGATGGGAAGAAAAGAAAGTTGATTAATTTTATCCTTGTTAAGTAAAACAGCAAGATATAAAAGAGAAGCTCTGGAAACAAAAAGAGTTTGTGAAGAAGCTGGGTGATTGCAGAGAGGCCAGGCAAATGTTCTAATTACAGTTCAGTGAAGACAGGGCTACTATTTTGAGGTATATTTTCTGAGATTTCTTTAAACGTTTAATTTCCTCACTTTATTACTGGTATTTTTTCCTAATAGTAATAGCTGATGATTTTATCATGATTGTGATCAAAATAAAAAATCAAAACCATGGAATATTTTGGGACAACAAAAGTAAGGAAACTCTTTATTCCAAAGTTTGTTGTGCAATGAAGAAACCCTAAGGACTGAGGCAGGAATCTGAATGGCAGGAAATAAATTCTAACATAAACAGAAAGATATTTTTGGAAGAATATAGGCAGCTCAATAGGATGGAAAGAAAAGCTGAATAAACAAACTTTAGAAAGGCAAAACCAGGCATCTCTAAGGAGGCCTTTTCACTACTACGTTACTACTAAGGTGACTAAGCTCCAGTGACTTTTCGGCTTCTGTCTTTTCATTTGAATTTTAAATTTCCAGAAGTGGACTACCAAATTGAACATAATGGTGTGGGGCAACAATTTACCTTCTCCTGTTTTCACACAAAAGCAACATGATGAACTAAAGGTTTTTTTTGTTTGTTGTTTTTTAAGTTACACTGTGGCTGTATGGAGAAAATTGGAAAGAGACTGAAATCACTGAAAGTATAGTACCTCTGAAACAAATAATACATTATATGTTAAAAAAAAGAAGAAGAAGATAGCAGGAAGGGAAAAATGAAGGAGGGGAAATCGGAGGGGGAGACGAACCATGAGAGACTATGGACTCTGAAAAACAAACTGAGGGTTCTAGAGGAGAGGCAGGTGGGGGGATGGGTTAGCCTGGTGATGGGTATTAAAGAGGGCACATTCTGCATGGAGCACTGGGTGTTATATGCAAACAATGACTCATGGAACACTACATCAAAAACTAATGATGTAATGTATGGTGATTAACATAACATAATAAAATTAAAAAAAAAAAAGAAAGATAAGAGAGACCAGAATGGTGGTCAGTTAAGTGGCTGTTATAATGAGAAGAATGGAAATCAATAAGAAATTTATTACAAAGAGACCAAATCACATTCTCAATATTAATAAGTGCAAAACCAAAGGAAATGACAGCACTGAGATATTTCTTCTGTATATTGATGCTAAAACAGAAATGCCAGAGTGAATACTTGAATTTTATATGTGTTTAAAATTCATAAAATTTAAAACATTTAACACTAAAAAAAAAAAAGAAGAAAGTATACTTATGATATTTGTTGAGTAGTTGCTGAGTATTTCCTATGGACCAGGCACTGTGTTGAGTATTTTGCATTCATTAACTCATTTAATTTTCACGATAACTTTACAAGTTAAAGATAATAATAGATTTCACATTTGAGAAAACTAAGGTTTGGAGAAGTTGAGTAACTAGTCTAAGGTGGCACATTAACAGTTAGGAGTAATTAGAAGGCTTTTGTACTACATCAAAGCAAGAAATGTTAAGGGCCTGAACTAAGTTAGTGAGAAAGGACCAATTTGAGAATGGTTTATAAAAAATGTAAGAAAACGAGGAGTCAAGAATAACTCTTAGGTTATCAGAAAGTAGATGGTGTTTTTTATTCAAACGGAAGAATGGTTTTTGATGGTGAAAGTGTTAGGAGGCATTTGATGACTTGTCAGCTTAAGGCATTTTAATTGCCTGTGGGACTTGCTAACAGGTCTCCTGCTGTACTCTTGCCCCTTGTAATCTGTTCTCCACACAGAATTCCCTACCATGGCCTTCAAGGCTCTACAGCTCTTTGTTACATATAGCTCTCTGCCTTACTCAGTACATTTTAGACATACAGGCCTTATACTTTTCCTGAGTGGCAAGTCCCTGCTTGCCTTGGGGTCATTGCACTGGCTAATTCTTTTGACTGGAATGTTGTTGCCGAGATCTAGTCATAGCTTTTCTCCTTTTTGATATTCACTCTTGGGTCCAATGTTACCTCCTCAGAGAGGCTTTTTCTCAGCATCCTTTTTCCATGCCCCATACCAACCCTCCTCCCCCATTGCCTCCCATCTCCAAATCACCTTTCACTGCACTTACCACTTCCTGAAACTGTGTTCACTTGTAGTTTACTTGGTTATTGATGTTTACTTTCTCTAGGTAATAAGCTCCATGAAAGCAGCGACCATGTATATTCACCATCTAGACATGAGAACAGTCCCCAGTAGCATATATAAACTCAATAAGTATGTGGTGAAAGATCATGAAGTCCTGTATGTGAACTCAGAATGACTCATCAAACCACTTTACAGCTATGGTAACTTGCAGCAAGCCACAAAATGTGAATTAAGATATACACGTTATACAGATTCATAATTAGTAAACCTTAAACTTCTGTAAAGAATTCACACACGGTGATCCCACTGCAAAAATTATAATTTTGCTTAATTCTGTCATCTCCGTAGTGACAAATTTTAGAATTGGAAACGTGGATGCTTTTTTTTAACCTGAGGAAAAATTCATCTTTGGTAATTGCAGATTTCTCAATTTGTCTTTTCTCTTGAAGGCTCAATCACAAGATATAGTTCCAACCATAGGATTCAGCATAGAGAAATTCAAATCATCCAGGTAATTCATTTTATTATACTTTTGACTAAGAAGTTGTGGGTGAGAAGTGATAATATCAGATTGACCTAGTCATTCGTTCTACTCTTAGAAAAAGAAATTTGTTGTTTCAGAAGTCCATAGATGGTAAATTATTTGTACCACTACCTCTGGATTGTTTTTCAGAATTTAGACTTTAGATAAACTCCGATAATCTCACTAGAAGGAAAACATCTTTTTTTTATGTTATTCATTACAAAATCATATTTATATTAAAAAATTTAATTTATGGGACTTGTACTTGAAAATTGGCTCAAGTTGAATATTGTATATTCAAGGGTAGTTTATTTGAAAACAATTTAAATTTTTAAGTAAAAGTAACACCTTGAGTTAGTATCTTATAATGTAGTCATGGTTTTTTTGTTTTGGTGTTTGGTTTTGTTTTGCTTTGTTTTCTGTAGTTTGTCTTTTACAGTGTTTGACATGTCAGGTCAAGGAAGATACAGAAATCTCTGGGAACACTATTATAAGTAAGTATGTTTATAAATGTTGGTTAACTAGATGAGTATATTTTAATAATAATGCTTAACAAATAAATCCAAAGGATTACGTGGGCTAGGTTGCAATATTTATTTTTCATATAATTTAAGCACATTTTCAAATGAAAAAATGAAAATGTTTTCTAATGAAAAAGTATAATCTTACTTCATATTATTTCTCAAATGCTTCAGGTCCTCCGTGACCTTGGATCTTTGCATATGCTTTTCTCTCTGTTTTTAATGCCCTGTTCTATTTAGTTGCAGTTTAAAGTTAATATAGTCATGCTTTAAAGTTAACTCAGAAGTCACCTCCTCTGTCAGATTTCACCTTTTTTGCCCAGTTATTCTGTCCCCAGTGTTCACACAGTACTTTACCATACTTGTTATGTCTTAAAGTCATGTGCCATAGCTGCCTCTCTAATGAGGGTGTGAACTGCTCAAGAGCAAGGATTATTTCTTATTCAGGTTATTTCTTCAAGGCCAAGTATGATGCTAGACATATAGATCGGTAAATATTTATTGAATAAATTTAGTTAAAATAACAGTACTAACTTAAACAGTCGATCCATTTGTTCTACAAGCAATTCTAAACAAGATATTTGTCAGCATATGCAAATAAAGTGCTCACTAATTACTTCAGATTAAGAACTGTTAAGTTACTAGAACCCAAATTATTATGCCGTCTCAGGATTTGCATGTGGTAGTAAAATGAATTCATTAACTGTTCATATTGCTAGGACTCCTTCCTGTAAAAGCAATGTAACTTACTTTTGGAGTCTGAAACTTATAACCAGTATCCCTTGACTAAATGCCCTTTTGTCATTATGAACTCTTGCCTTGGAATGATTATGAGATGACTGCCCAGATCAGATTTTAATTTTTATTCTTTCCTGCTAATGTGGGAACAAACATTGTATTCCTCAGATTAGAACCAAAGGAGATTTTTTTCAGATACTCTTTTCAATGAGTGCTTTAATAGATTGAAGTCATATTTAAATCATACAGATCCAGAGGACCGCTGAGGTACAGAGAAAAGATTTTGTTCTTCAGATTTCAGAGTCAGTTTGGTAAAGGGAAAGTGGCATGTTTATGGTAGCTTGCATTAAATTCTCTGGGGAAATGTGAGTTGTTTTTTTTGGGTTTTTTAGGGTTTTTTTTGTTTTTTTAGGAAACCTGAGTTTTCAGTATAGGATTTTTTTATTCTTCCTCCAAAAAAAGAATTTTTAAAATGTATTTATTTTAGCTACTATTTCAAAAATAACATTTATTTTAATTACAGATAACAAAAATACATAGAAAATAGTTTCTATAAAAGGAAATGTTTCTGCTTTTAATTCCTTTTTCTTCAAAATCTTTTTGGAAGACGTTAATTAGGAACACTATAGCTAAATTGTAGGTTGAATAGTGAATAGGGTTACTATGGAGAAGTCTACAATAATAGTAAATTTATATCCTGTATCTATATTTTTCTAATTATGAAAGAACAAGTACATCTTAATCTATTAGACTGAAAGAGGTTAAAAAGATTAAGTCTACTATGGCAAAATAAGTCACTCTTATGGTGGGAATGTAACATCTTTTTCAGGGAAATTTATCAATATCTTTTAAAATGAAAAATGTTCATGCTCTCTAGCCATCATTTTTTTTCTTGAAAAGTATCCTATGACTAGCACTGGTGGACAAAGTTAAACATAGAAGAATATGTGTTGAACACTGTTTATAATGATATCTCAATTATAAAAAAAAAAATACTACTCTTAACAAAAATAAGTGCTTAGTATATATAGAGAAGGAAAAAAATTTAGTAGCATCTGCACCAAATCATTAATAGTATTTGTTTTGGAACAATAAGATTATAAGGGAATTTTACTTTGTCATTTATTTGATTCTGTAACATTGATTATTGTATAATTATTGCATATTTATAATATGAAAGTAATAAAGTATAAAATATAAGGAGTACACATTTTTTAATATTTGGAAAATATAGAAAAGAATATAAAAAAATTTTTCTCTAAATCTCACTACTAATAAATTTACCATTGTTAATCTTTTTTTTCTTCTTTCTTGAAATATAAAATATATATTCTACATAGTTGAGAAAGGAGTCTTCTAAATTATGTACCATATATAGTTTTTTATCCTGCTTTTTCAGTTAATATTCAGTGATAAGAATAAATCAGGAAAAACATCCAAAGAATATAACTAATGACTCGCTGTTTATTTTTTTTTTTCACATGCCTATGCCTATTTTGTAATCATTCTATTTTTGGACATAAAAGCTATTCTCAGTTTTTGAAGATTATAAACAATCCTTCAGTTAGCACATCTTGCTGCATAAATCTTTGTCATAGATCATGTTTCCTTAGAATAAATTCCAGAAATAAAATTACTGGCTCAAAGAGATTTAACATTTTTAAAACTGTTGGTAGATATTTTCCAATCTTATCAATTTCCATGGCTACTAGTAATGTATGACTAGTGATAACCTATGTTCATTTTTTTTAAATGATAGGAGAAAATGGTACTCAAAAGTTATTTTATTTTTATGCTCATGTGATTGCTAATGATATTGAACTTTTATTTTTTAATGATATTGAACTTTTAAAATCTTAATTTATGACTGGAATAAGTGATTCACAAAAAAAGGTAAAATGTCCAATAAATATATGCAAACATATTGAACTTTTACTAGCAATTAATGAAATACAGTGTAAAATACTATGCTGTTAGAATGGCAAAAATGGAAAAGAATGTTAAGAGCCATGCTGGAAAGGTGGGAAAAATACTGGTAGTAGTATAAATTGATAAAGTATTTCTGGAATACAGTTTGTCAATGTTTATCTAAAACTTTAAATTTTGTATGTATTTCTAGAAATTTTATTCCTAATTACAAGTCTTAAGATACCAAGAAATTTAAAAAATGTACTCAGGAGGATGTTTATTCCAAAGTTTTTCACAATAATAAAAATTAATAATCTCTAAGTCCACAGTATTACCGATGGCATATCTGTGCAATGGGATACTTTATAATCATTAAAAGAAAGGTGCAGAGGGAATCAGTGATTTTTTTTAAGTGCCACTGTGATCTGTAAGTGAATCTTTAAGCCAGTTTAGTGGCTGGTTATCAGCTTAAAAAAAATCAAATAGAATAAAATAAAAGCTATTTGTAAGTATTATTTCTGGAAACTTATTTCAAATATAGTTACATATACTTAAGGATCTACTGTACCTTAATGTAAAATGTATTTCTCACTATGGTTATGGTAAGAAATATTTGAGAAACACTGGTGTAGAGCTTTAATGTTTCATATAAAAGTAGTTCAAACTATACAGCAAAGAAGATCAAGGAAATATATATATATCAGAAAGGCAGGGTATAAAACAGCAAGATTCCATTTAAATACAAATGTAGGTACTCATATGTGAATATACACAAAGAAAATGTCAAAATTGACTTACCCCCAAATATTAATAATGATTGCATCTGTGTAATAGGATTATGGTTTTACTTGTAATTTTTAAAAATTATGAAATAAGTCATTAAATTTACCATATTATCAACCAACTGAGAAAAAATTATTTTACATGAAATAGGACTGATGGTAATGTAGTAGTCACTCATATAAACTAATATGTAATAAAAAGATAATACACAGGAAATGCAAATGAATGCTAAACATGGAAAAATGTATAATTTTATCTTTAATTTTTCTCATTCCTTATACAGAGAAGGACAAGCCATTATTTTTGTCATTGATAGTAGTGATAGATTGAGAATGGTTGTGGCCAAAGAAGAACTTGATACTATGCTGAACCATCCAGGTATATGTGTGTGTTTGTGATATCTGTGCTTTAGGGTCTGTTTACGTAAGATGATTTTTTTGTTCTTTGGTCTTGGCAGAAAATGTTGCTTATTCTATGTAATTATCTCATTTAAAATTTTTAATTTTTTTAATTGAAACAACATACAGTGTCATATTAGTTTCAGGTGTACAATATAATGATTCAATAGCTCTGTACATTAATGAATATATTACTCTCCTTTGTTTTTGAATTTTAAAATATAGTAATTATTCAGAATTCATATCTATCTATAGCACCATGTATTTTTTAAATTTCAAAGCTTTTTGCAGTATTTTCCAGGTCTCTGACCTTTTTATCCCCCTAAAATAAAAATGTTCTTCTGATTGCCCAAGTAAGGTGTCAATAGCAAAAAATGAAGACAGGAAAAGAATAAAGAAGGAAGTAAAAATCCATGTATTTCAACAGTCATTAGAATTATTTTGGTTACCAACTTTTCATACATGTATATATATGTATGATTACACAGCATTTCTTACATATTTATTCTGAGAATTCTTCTAAAACAGATCTTTTCTGTTTTTAAACTCTTAACTGCCAGCCCTACCCTCTTTCCAAGATACCAGTATTAACAATTTGGTATTTTTTTCTCGTTATTTACTAAAATGGGATCATATTCTCTACACTCTTCTGCATTTAGCTATCTCAGAGAACATTAAATTATGGAAATCCTTTCAAGTCAAAATGAATATATGTAAATATTCTTTTTAATAGTGCCTAAAATGCCATTCTATGAGTATACCACCATTTATTCTATTTTACCTATTATTAGATATTCTTTTTTTTCTCCACAATACAATTCTCCAGTAAGTATTGTGAAACTGCATTTCTAGCTTCACTCGTGGGAAAAGATTTAAGTAAGTGGTCTTTGTGCTATGACTTTTAGGAAGAGGTGATGGCTTAAAAGAAGTGTGGATTTGTTAGAAATAGAATGGGAAATAGCATGGGGCTTTCTAACAGTTCTTCCTGTTTAACCACACTAACTGATATTTTTATTGAACAACCTTAAGCTTATTCAGATATTTGGGGTAATAATTATCTAGCCTGTATATTTTATGTGACTCTTTCACTTCTTTTTTTTTTTTTTTAGAGATTTTCTTGCTTTTTTTTTTTTTTAAAAGATTTTATTTATTTGAGAGAGAGAATGAGATAGAGCGAGCATGAGAGGGGGGAGGGTCAGAGGGAGAAGCAGGCTCCCCGCTGAGCAGGGAGCCCGATG